GACTTGAAAATGCAAGTAACACAGCTAGACTAAAAGAGCTATTGAAGGGAAGAGACAGTAAGGCAGCTCTATTTCTGCTTTTAAACAAGATTTAACTGCTGTTGACAGAGAAAGTACAGAACATCTTCCTAAAGCAGGTCTGCATAGTAAAACATACTCAGGAAGAGCAAATAACTAATCTTGTTAATGAGTTTTCTATAAAGCACTTTTGCACTCTGGAGATACATGTTTATGCTCTCACATTGGAGCTGTAGGTGACCTGAAGAGGGATCTGCTCAACACAAAAAGCAAAGGAGGGAAAATTTTGTCTGCCATTTTCTCTATTTTCTGTGGTGATAGAGCAGAGCAGTTCTGGAGTATGGAATTTCTATAGCACAACACAGCTGTTCTTTCTGATGTGTCCCTGAAAGAATTCACCATCTGGCATTGATGATATCACAGCCTGTTGCCATGGGACCATCATGTCATCACACATATCCCACACTCAGCATCCTTTCAGAGCAAGACAGCTGGCACATCCGAGTCCAGCAGCCATCAGAAAAAGGTGACAAGGACCTCAGAGCCAAGATATAATGACAAAACCAGCTGCCATGAGCATGCCCAGCTACAGGGCTTCTCTGAGGAGGGAAGACTTCCAGTGTACCCTCCACACCCAGGGCAGTTACATCAAAACAGGACAGCAAATCAGCTGTGGCACTGCTGACACAACTCTGCTGCAGAGCAGTATCAATGAAAATGTCGATGTTTTGCTCAACAAATATTTTCTTGTCTCTAGTGCAGTGTGGTCTGGCATTACTGGAAATCCTAAATTCATCAACACATGTAGAGAAAAATTGATAAAAAGTAGTGAATACTACTACCTTCCCATTACACAGTCTATTATTCATTTGACTGCTCTTAAAGTGCTTTTCAGATTTATATTCTGCAGTCATGTAAGAATTATTCTGTTTGGGGAAACTGACACAACTTGTGTTTCAAGTGCATTGCAGCATAACTGGCTGAAGTTTCATCTCAACCTCACCACTTTTCAGGAAAGGACAGCAGAAGGGGAGCCTTCAGCTGTTACTCAGCCACTTCATGGAATATGCTACAGACCAGGAGCGTGGCCTTTGAGCTATTGCTTAAGTAAAAACATACTTCAAACATTTATTTTTGTGAAGCCCCTGCCTTCTGTCCACATAGAAGATATTACAGGATCTTAATTCTAAAAAAGCCCAATTTTCATAATCTGTAACCATATTTACATTTTTTGCAACTCGCTCACAAAGGAAAACTTAAACTTCCTGGTACTTATTTACACTCTGCAAGTGAGAGCAGGCCTTGCAGTCTTAACAAGCAGACGTGGAGGTGACAGGAAATGGAATTTCCTCATTAGTTTCTGAAATGTATGAGATGATGTTGTTGCTGGAGGTAGCAGAAACCAGACATGATGACCAAGATCTTTTCCTGTCCAATGCAAAGGATGGGAGTAACACAGCTATGTGAGTATCAAAACTGCTGAAATACAGTGCAGAGACTTTTTCATGCTGGCTACTTGTACAAGCCTAGACCAAAAGAGTTTACTGAATCTCAGGCCAAATAACAAGTAAATGAGATTACATTACACAGCTTAGCACTAGGTGTCTTCCAACTTGACTCCTTTTGACATCAATAACAGTAAACTTTGGTGGAGCTGAGTCACCAAGCAGGAGGGGTTGCTGTAACCAGAAAATGCATGAGATAACTGAAAGTTGAACCTCAGGACTGGGATTTCAATCTTCATCTTCAGCAGAAGTGTGTGGAAATATTCTAAACGTCCCTATAAATGGATCAGAAATCTGGTTATCTTCCTGTGCCAACACCTGATGGCAGCTGTCTAGGAGACATGAATAAAACACTATTTTTTCAGCCCTCCCCAGCTATCAGTAAGGTCCAGATTATGGACATCCAAAGGCAGTGGTGTAATTTATTTTTAATAGCTCCTCATAGACTTTTGCCTCACTTCTTATTGAGTCAAGAAATTGTTGCTTTTATTTAAAACAAACTCTTAAGGAGTACCACTTGTAACTCTATTTAGAAGAAATCCCTACCAATTCTTTCTTCTTTTCTCATTCCTCCCTCCCCACAAATATGTGTTTTGGGGATGGCTGAAAACAACAGTCATGGGGATAGCAGTTATGTGTATTTTGGTTTTTCAAAAGGCTTTGCAGGCAAAAGATCTCAATGTAGTTTAGGGAACCAGCAGTGGTATTGGCACTATTAGGCTGAAAAGTATTTTCTTTTCAAAAACGATGTATGTTTGCATTTACTCTGCTTGCTTGCCGTCTCAGAAGGAGTCATGATTAAAGGGGAAAAATTTTCTTCTGTGACTGTATAATGACTGTGACTTCATTTGCAATGAAATCCATGCAGAGAATCTCCATTACTCCCTGCAAGCTCAAGAGAAGCAAGTCTTTTTCCACTTTTGGCCAAGCAAGTCAGTGCCATTCCTGGCCTCTCCATATTAACAGCTGAGGCTGATGCCTGTATGACCAGTTCCAAAGAATGGAATGAGTCCAAGCAATTCCTCTGCCACGATGACCAGGTCTCCAACACAACACCCAAATGGCAATGTCATGGTCTGTCACCCACCCAGCCTGAGCTCCTCTGCACGTGTCACTGTGTGCCAGCTCAGCAATTCCAGCTTTGTGAGAATACAGGAAGAGGTGTGAAGTCTTGAACACCCTCTGGCTATAACCACCCTTCAGAAGCAGCTGAGACTCCCTTACAGGCTGCCATTCTACCTAGAAAAGAGCTCACAAGAATTAGTGTACTTTGGACTATCCATGCAGGAACACAGGAGAAAACAGGTTAGACAGTCTGGACAGCTGATTGATTAGCAAACAAGCATGAAAAAAGATTTTTGCACAGCATTAATGTATTATTTATCAAATAATACATTTTCCAGGAGAAATTACACTTTACACTTTTAAGAAACCAGAAGGAAAAGAGTTGGGATGTTTCCTTTTGACAGACTGTATTTCACATTTTGGGCAATAATCTTGGCCCTTCACTAATTCTTTCAGCCAAAATGTTCAGCCCAGCATGCCAAAAATCACACTTAAAACTCAAAATTCAAGCAGCTGAATCTGTGTCTTGCTTTTCTCAATTTCTACACCAAGAGCTAGACTGCTATTAGTGCAACAAGAGATGAAGATACCAATATTTACAGCATATTTCACGTAATGAATTAGAAGCTTTTACTAAGAGAAAGACACAAGTGACCAAATCTATATGTGTTATATATGTTTATCCTTCATAAAGGCTGTTACAGAAATTTGGGTTGCTTTTTATTAACACTTTTTTTCAAGTGTGAGATGTCTGCAGCCAGCCATTAATGAGACCCCTGTCAAAAAGGATGAATACTTACCCATAATGTTGATTGAGAAAATGGTGCTCATCAAAAGGGTTTAATCTCTTCTCTGTACAAACACTGAGCTGTCAGCTGCTGTGTGGGGAAAAAATTCTAAAAGAACAAGAGCCCTTGACAACATCACCATAAAAGTAAGCAATTTTTCTTTCAGAAGGAAACAGGTCATTGCTTCATTTCTATATTACATTTATATCACACCAATTTTGAAAAGGTTTTTTTTCTCATTTAAGAAGGCTTTTAGTAGAAAAAACCTATTACATTTTTCTCCTATCTTCAAAGCATCTTCAACCAATCACAAACTCTTCTCCTGAAAATAAGGCTGATTTGTTTGTAACAAATGAGGAAACCAGTTTTTGAAATCAAGACTGATTGGATGACAACTTTTGACTTCAGGGTATAACTCTACTGGAGCTGGGAAAAGCTCATGAGAAACAGTACCACCAGCAAGCGAAGAATTCCCTTTGGGCAGGACTACACCAACAGTTGGCATAATTGAAAGTGAAGGTGCAACCTTCTGGAGAAGGAAGAATCAAGTCTGCAGCACCACAGTGGCATTCTAGCCAAGGAACATCGTGTCTTTGGGCAAAAAAGGTGTACATGGTCCCATGACTGAGGACTGCAGCATAATACATGTGTGCAAGAAAGGTGAATGTTACAGACGACTGAAGTGCCATTTTTGAGTTGCTGCTGCATTTCCTCCATGATCACATGCTTTTATGTGAGGTATTTATCAGAAACGTAAAATGACATGGAAGATAGAGTAAAAGAACTGCAGAATTTTCAAGTTCTGCTGAATTTCCAGCAAAATGGGACATCTAGGGGTAGTTGGCCAGATGTCCCATTTTGCTGGCCCATCCCCTGAAATGAAATTATTTGGCAGCAACATTTAAATCTGCAGTAGAGTATTTCAGGAGTTAGTACATAGCTCCTAAGGAACAATTCATCTCATTCTCTCTCCTTCTAACCTCACAGCATATTTAAGCACATTAAACCCTCTTAAAATACTTGAAAGAACTAAAGGCAAAGTAATTTCCTTTATATATTTCTTTTTATAGATTTTACATTTATTTTACATTTTATGTGAAGTAGGAAAGGAATTCAATGTTTGTCTTATATGAGGTCTCCACAAATACTTTTTGAGACCAGAATTTCTGCTTCTGCTAGCAGAACTAGCTGAATGAAGAATCAACCACAGCAAGAACTGGAATTTGTGTTGAAAAGTAAGAACAGCCCAGCCCTACTCTACCCATTCTTCTTTTTTTCTGAACTGAACTATACAGGGAAAACACCATCACCACACTGAAAACATTTCAAATAGGAACAGAGAAATTTATGCATGTTAATCTATGACAGGGTTTTCCCCCAGTGGATACAGCAACCCTCCCATTCATTTTGCACCACACCATGCATGTGTGGTATTGCCTGACATTGCTGTGAAAGTCCTGTCAACACTCCTTGTGCTTCTCCGTATGTTAAAAGCACTTCTGCTCTAAGTTCAATCTTCCTTAAACAATACAGCAGCTAAAAGAAAGCTTTACCATCTAAGAACTGAAGTGTTGTAAGTATGGAGGTTTGTTTATATAAAAAAAGGAAAGTACATTACAAGGTGTTAAGAAGAAAATTTATTTGGTCAAAGGAAGGAAACCTAAACAAAACACTGAATTTTTGACAAAACCTGCCAAAAACAAGAGTAACAACAAATGCAGGACTGTTAATAATCCTTTTCTCTCTCCTGTCTCACTGAAATTTTTCAGATTAATCACACCAGAAGTCTTGGAAAACTGGAAGCTTTTCATTTCAATGTTCAATTTAACTTCATCTGTGAAAGAGGTGGAACTGACATAGAAATTCTGCTTTGAAAAAACAGTACCTACTACTGAAAGCAAAGATATTCCAGACTGCACTGCAGACTTGCTTTGTTGCAGCTGGCTGCTGCAGAGGGCACAGCAACTGCTGAGTGTATTACAAACGACACATACTAAAGAGAAACTCTGAATACTCAGTCAGCATGAATTGAAGTTGAAATTTTAATTGTAACCTTCCTCTGTTGCCAGGAAGGCAGATGAGGATGTCTCTGTGAAACCAGAAGACTAATCCTTTGCCCTGGCATGGAAATGCTGCAATGCCACAAACTACTGCCCTTCAATACACAATGATATTTATCAGCAGAGCTTCACAGAGAGTCCTTTTAAGCGTTCAGGGTACCATTTTCTAAGGAGCCACAGGTTTTGAGGGGCCAGTTTGGCCTCTCTTACACAAACCACCAGTGTGCCTCACTCAGTGTGGGGCAAACACAATTGGCCCAAAGTAAAGAATGACAGAAGCAGAACCAAAACAGCTGTGTGGATGAGCACACACAGAGGCACATCTCTGTGCAGATGGATGAAAACACATCTACTTGCTTATGTTTAAATTTTGTGCATGTCCTATGCACTTGGCCATTGGAAACCAGCACCTAAAACAGACATATAGCCCACAGGGCTCCCTGGCTTCCACAGCTCTGTATACATTGGTCAGATATAGTCTATCACTCTAATAAGCCTTCTTTAAAGCTTCAAGCCTTCAAGCCCATTGCTGCTTTTTATTAGAATGGCAAAAATCACTCTAGGCACTGGTTTCAATAGCACTGTGTCCTCTTAAGTTTCTCTTCTGCTAAACAGATCTCCAACAGACAGGACCACATCAGGCTTCTGCCCGATCCTCCCACCCCTTCATTAAAACATTTTTCTATATAATGCTGCCAGACGAGTATCAGTCTGGAAGAAAAACTTCCTGCTTTATTATAAACCTTTGAAAAAGAATTCCAATGTCTGGGCTACGGTAATTTGATAAGTTGTATCTTGGCCAGTGGGCTCCTGATTCTCAAAAAAATCCAAGATTAGCAGACATAACAGTTCAAGCTATGCTGTGTGAAACTACTGTGTTAAATAAGACTAGAAAATGGGATCACTCAAATTCTTAAACAGGAAGAGCAGACAATTTCTAATGTGTTTTTCTTCTCTGCATTGCTTAAATTTTCCCAGTTCACTGGGTATGGATGTTGTTATGTTGCTTGCATGTGTGGTCAAGGCAAGCGGGTATCAAATGAGTGAATTTTAGACAGGTTTGATATTCCTGTCCCTCCTGTTACTACTTGACAACTGTATGTGTGTTGAATGGACTGTGAACATCACCGACAGACACGGTAAAAGAAAAAAAGGCCAAAGAAATACATGCTGTCCTTGCAAGACTCTCCCTCAAAGCCCAAAATCAAAACTTGCAGTTTGTTCTTTCAGCAGCCCAACCTGAGGCACCTGACCGTACAGCACTGTGCCACGTCAGAGCACAGTCCAGTACTCACAGCTTAAGGGGAATAATGGGCCAGTATTTGGGCTGCTTTTTGTCACAGTTCCTATCAAAGATAAGTTGCATGGCAGCCTCCATTGCTTGGATTTTGGCAGCTTCAGCACCATACAGCTTCTTCATTTCTGCCATGCGCCTCTCCCCAGGTCTTTCTGTGGGCGGCTCCACAGAACGCTCCACCCTCCTGTGCAGGTCTTGATCAGCCTCCACATAGGGGTCCTCAGCTTCCAGCTGCTGCTGCCTCCCTAGACAAATAAACCATAAGAGATGTAAATTACTGGGCTATCAACCAATCATGTTTTATTTTAACTTTTACAAATATTATATATTCATATTTTTGCTGGGTCTAAAAGGAAAAAAATCCACATGTTCTAGGATGCAGCTGCACTACTTTGCATAAAGAAATTCCTACTAAATATCATGATAAAGCCAGGCTGGAATAAATGGGGAGAAATGAAGAAGATCCTGGAACTGAATCCTAAAAGTGTAGGAAACCTCTGTATTAGTACTACTAAGCAAAAATCAACATTGCTCCATTTCTCCCTTAAACACACATAGCCCTGAAAAAACAACAAAACAACAAAAACCCAAAACACAATCCCCCTCTCCCTCCCAAGAAAACTGAAAAACCCAAGCAAAAAATCCCAAACCATTCCCCATACCAAAAAAATCAAACAAAAAGGAGAGTTGTTTCCGAAATAATGACTTAGCAGCTGAGAAAGGAAACAATACACAGGACAATGCAACTTTAGCTGAATGATAGCCAAGAGAAAATGTAATCAGTTACTACTCTGTGAAAATGAACAAATGGGTCTGTCATGTCAGCCATTAAGTGCAGTCAATGAAACACAGCTGTAAGCATCGTGTTTGGATAAACTGTCTAAACTCAGTAATTTCTCAAGACTTGCAAAGTTCAAAGCTGGCAGCCTTACTCTATTGCTTTGAAAACAAACTAAACAGCACCAACATAAAGCATGCATCAGATCTTTTAAAGAGAATTCAAAACAATTCAAGAGGTGAAACATTTGACCAATCTGTCAACAGAAATGCTCTGTGGTAAGCCTGACTGGAAGAAAGAACTTGGTTGTGCATGTCCAAATTTACCTCTGCTTCCTGGGTCTGCTAAGACGAAAGAAACAATGCTTTGTGCAGTTAAAACATCAAAGTGCTACACAAAACTACTCTCTTATGGGGACATTTCTACAAGAGAGAGAAAATCACCCAGCAGCTGAACTCCTCAATAACAAACAACCATCCTCAAAACCATGTAAAAGGCACAGTTCACTACTACTGACAGCAGTTGGGTTTTTTTAAACATCAAAAAGGACAGTGTCCACAGGTCCAGGATGCATTGGTCACACACAAGACATGCTCCTCAGCATTTGGTGCCATGTACTTCTTCCCTCTTTCACCCTAAGGCAGAGATTTAGCTTCCACAATACACGTGACATCTGCAAACCCTAACCCAAAGTTAAATATCCTGACATTTGTGTGTCAAACATCTGCAGTTTGTTTTTATACTGGAAAGTACTGTACTGAGCAGCCAACTGACTGTCAGCCTTCCTAAAGGAATTATCCCCTCAACAGCATTCACAGAAAACAGATATTTTAAACTATATGATGAGAAACTTCAAATTTGGCATATGTTAGTCTGACAGACACAGAAAGCTTTTGTCCTGTCATTTGAAACACCATTTGTGTTGGTCATAGAAGGGCTTGAGGAGTTATTAGCCATCTATTCCATAAAGCCATTTCTGTGATTCTGCTTTAAGGGCACACCCCTGCATTAGGCTGCACCGCCAGAATTCACAAGGAAATATACATTAGAGTCCATATGTGATTTTGGAAGAGTCAGATTTACTTGGTGTTGGGCCATTTTAACCAGAAGGTCTGAATTAAAGAAACTAACATCGCCTACAGAGGGCTCAGCACTTCGAGGACAATGTATAGCACCCAGGCTATGCCTTGCACCCCACTGAAACCAACTTCCTGGGACACCACGCTGCCCACAACTACATAGCACGCTTTTAAGTACAAACTGAATAGTTTTAGACAGATAAAACCAAACAAGACTATGCTGGCAAACCAATGTCTCCCACTGTAGATTACACAGCAAAACTGTCAAGGCAATGAATTGGACCCATATTTGTTAACTCTCTTGGGACACTAGATAATTCCTTGTACTTCTGTGCTGCCCATGGAAATTTTTAATTCTTTAGTTCCATAGCTGCACGCTAGAGACAGCTGCTTTCTCGCTTGTTTGCTGTAGAATGCTGTCTGATAGCTCACTGCTGATCCTTAAGAAAAAAAAAGTTTCGCTGGAGGTAGATAATGAATTCTTCTGTTTAGAAATTAAATGGATCTCTAGCAGAACATTCATGATGGATGAGTGGATTACAGTTTCGTGTGCATCAATCTCCATTCCTCAATACAGAGTCATTCATAATTCTGTAGATCCTAATTGTAACAATCAAAATAATAATACCAATTTAAATTCCATTCTCAGAATTACCTGATGTATGTCTGGAGTGTTTTACTTTACACTAATCAGATATAGTGCCCGTAACTTTCTAACTTGACTTCTGCTATTCCATAGCTACTGGTTAAAAAAATCCCAGAGTAATTGTATTACACAGCTTTAGACACATAAATCAGGTCTAGAATCCAGGCAGAGGCTCAGGATAGAAATGTGCTATAGGGACCCACAGTTTTTTGCACCAAAGGCTGGATTTGAGCACAGTACATGACAGCTGTTGCTGGTAATACTACTGCAGCTGTGTGGAACAGGCTGCATTTCAAATCAGTTATCTGTGCAGAGATACCACTGCAACAAACTCCAGAGTCATAGACAGAATCATAGAATGGCTTGGGCTACAAGGCACCTTAAAGATCATCTTATTCCAACCTCCCTGCCACAGGAAGGGACAGTGTCCACCAGATCACATTGCTCAGAGCCGCATCCAGTCTGGTCTTGAACACTGCCAGGGATGAGACATCCACAGCTTCTCTGGGCAACCTGTTCCAGTGTTTCACCAAGGGACAGTGTCCACCAGATCAAGTTGCTCAGAGCCGCATCCAGTCTGGCCTTGAACACTGCCAGGGATGAGACATCCACAGCTTCTCTGGGCAACCTGTTCCAGTGTTTCACCACCCTTACAGAAGACAGCATTATTTGCTTTTATAGACTATCAAGGAAAGAAGTCACGAAACTAAATGGGCATGTAAACTACTGCTTTTCCAAAACCAAAATATTTCCAAAAATAGACATAAGAAATAGATAACAGAGAAAGTATTGTCCTGTTGAGATGCATACTAAACTTTCTTTGGTGGGGCAAGGGCTGGGAAGTAGAAGTGCTGTACGTGCTGTAATTTGCAGCAGTCTGGGTTCTATCCGTTACCTCAGAGTTTAGTTTAAAAACAATACAAAGCAGTACAACTTGAGCTAAATGTGCAACTACCTCTTCATCAAAAAGCTGACAACTAGAATCTGACAATGGAAACACAAACAAAATTATAAGCTGTCTATAAGCACAAGCCTATGGAAACAACCAGAATTTCTCTGAAGCAAGAAACACATACTCATCCATGAAGCAGATAGCAAGGTTTATCAAAATATGAATTCTCAGTCTGCAGCAATGAAGTCCCCAGCTCACTCTCAGATCAGTTTCACATTCCAAATTCTCAAGTCATTGGGCTGCCAAGTTATAAATGTAAAACAAGCAATTTTTACACAATTCTAAGTAGTTCCTCCTTCTACTTCACACAGACTAAAATAAACATGCTTTCTTTTACAGCACTCATCTTCAAATACTGGCAAGCTTCCCCCAGTCATGGAACAGTATTTTGCAAATGTTGACAAGGCAGGCAGGCAGCTGCAGTGGTGGTTGGTTCCCGCACAAAGGAAAAGCACTGCTGATGTTTTCCCAGTTGGTCAGTTCCATTTCTTTCAAAGATGCTCTTTCTCTCTCTTGAAGCTCACTTCAAAGTTAACTTATTCCTACCAAATTCAGCTCTGCTGGGAAGTCATCGTTACCTGGCCAAAACCAGATGGGGTATCTTTTTCCAAACACAGTAAATAGAATTATTTAACCACTAAGAAAAGAAGTCCAGCTGTGTCATGCACCCAGTGTCCTGGGTTACCCCAAAGGTTATTGTATTCTGTATCTATCTGTGCCCAGAATGGGAAGTGCCTCTTTAAGATGCTAGATCTGGAACTGGAACCTTGGGGCCAGCAGGTGCCGGCTGTTTTGAAGTCGGGGTTGCGCAGGCAGAGCTCTCTCCTGCCCACAGCTCTTGCTCTTTGCCTTTCATTCTCACAGGCAGAGAGCTGAGGCACCACTGGTGGAAGCTCCCCTCTGGTTTTCTTCTGGGTTTTTTTTTTACGAGGCAGGAAGGTGTTCAGCCATGTCCAGGAGAGCAGGGCTCCATCACACACAGCAGTGACTTGGGAAGACAAACATCATCACTCCAAATGTCCCTGCCTTCCTTCTTCTTCCCCCCACTTTATGTACTGAGCATGATGTCAGATGGTCTGGAATATCCTTTGCTCAGCTGGGGTCACCTGTCCTGGCTGTGTCTCCTCCCAGTCTCCCATTCATCACCAAGGTCCTCACCAGCATGGCAGCAGGAAAGGCAGAAAAGGCCTTGGCTGTGTGTAAGCCCTGCTCAGCAATAACAAAAACATTTCTAGATTATCAACCCTGTGTTGAGTGTAGATTCGAAACACTGCCCCAAACCAGTCACTGTAAATGACAAACTCTACCCCAACCAAAACCAGCACATCTACCTAACTCATGCTACACTTCTGGGCCATCATTAGTAAATTCTCCCTTCACCACTTTTCCCACTTTTTATGAATGACTTTTAATCTGGTGTGTACTAGCCGAAAAGAAAAGTGAACAAATACAACACCTCCCCGCTCTGGAATTGCCAAGAGAGCAGACTAACTACTGTATTAGCCATTCACTGCATTTGGGCCTTCATATGCACACAAATGACCTCTTACTTTCAGCAAGACTATGACCTAAGACATAAGCTATTTTCCCCCTAGGTCCTTAGCAACTCAGATGCCTTGTTTCTCTTATTTTATAAAAAGGGAAAATGTCTCACCCTTTTTGTAAGTTTGATCCACTTTACATTTATTTCTTTGTAATATCCTTTGAGAAGCTTAAGTAGTAATAATAAAAAAATTCCTGTCCAGAACTTACCCTCTTCTTATTAAAAGAAAAAAAACCCCAGCAAAACA